TATTATAGAACTATTCTTGCTCAGTGAAAATAAATTCCCAATACTCTGATGTTATTTGAAATATCGTTTAAATTTATTATAGAACTATTCTTGCTCAGTGAAAATGCCTTTGTAGCGACCAACATAAATTAAAGCACCCTGTATATATAATGTCGTTGTGTAAATATGTAAATCTTTTGTATGATATTCCTTTCTGTGTAAATATTTCTCAACGTTATCTTCTAAAGCTTTTGTATTCTATCCATCTGTTCCAATAACTTCTATTACTGTACTTTCCTATAATCCCTATTAACATTTCAACTTCGCGTACTAACCGCATGACGTCTGTACTTTGCTATCCGTCCTAATTGCTATTTTATGAGGGGTTTCTTCGGTGATTTGGGTTCAACAACTTAATTCTATATTTTCTATCTTCAGCATTTTTCAAATCATCTTTTCTTACTATTGGTTCCCTTCTTTTATCTACAACCCTTAGCTCCACCTTCATAACTTTCCTAAATTATTTAAATTCTATATTCTTGAGTTCTAAATCAACCTTCGTTCTACTCTTCTTGGTCTCTAACAGTTGTCAAATAAATATTAGTTTTACCAGACTTTATTATTTTAATATTGAACACGCCAAGAACCAAACCTTTAATATACCTATCTTGATTGTTGTAGGCCCACATTCTTAATTCAAAATCGACAATGCTCAAAATTTCGCGAACATCCTGTTAATAAGTCGTAGACATAGTCTTTTTTTATTGTTTTCGAAGGCAAATTTCCTAATTATACCACATCCGATAACGTCCCTTAATTTTCGTCAGTTCGAAACATTTATATATAATTTCAATTCAGCTTTTAATTAATTTTGCTGCATATGCCTTTGTTTTCTTTTTCCTCTATGCAACTTTAACAAAACGCATGTTTTTCCCATCAAATACTTCTCTAACATTCAATCTGTTTCAACCATTCTTTCATTGGCGGTAACTCCATTGCTGTCACATATAGTACGAAGCCTAACGTTAGATCTACTGTCTCACCTCGTAAACCACTCGTCCAAATTACGTACAGACGTGGAGTCCCGTGGAAACGAAAGATTAACGTTTTCACGTTCAGACAATCCAATCTTAAGTGGCCAGATTGAAGAGTAAAAGTAACTTTCCAGCTGATCCGCTCTTTTGTCAATGGGAACATATACATCATTGTATACATGATGTACAATACTAATTTCTGTAGAATCAAAGTAGTTAAAGTAGGACCACGGTGCGGCAATAATGGGGTGGCGGTTGTTTTTAGTTATATTCGAGGAAACACACAAACTGACCCCTTATTATTCCTAATAAACACGATGACGTTATTATTATAATACTGAAAGTGCCTGCTTTAGACGGGAAGGCAAATTTCATCACCGCTAAAGGGCGCTAGGTTTTAAGAGCGTCTCAACGCTGTATTTTTGACTTTTTCCAAAAATTTTTTAACTATGCGTCCATCTGGATAATCAGTAAATAAAAACTGATGGTCGTAGCATATATCGCCCTAATGGTTTATTTACTACTTGAAGTACACATTAATGGTTACTTATACTTAATAAACTTCCGTAGGCATTCACGCCCGGTGTGATGACGCTAATTGAATGTAATAACTTCCGGGCATGTGAGCCGTGATGTATAGGCTTCGTAATTATAGGGTTGTTTGGAAAGTCATTTCGTTTTTTCCCGACAGAGGATTTAATTGTATTCTTTTGCACCCAACTTCACATTTAAGCCGTATAATTTTTATATGCTTTGAGAGCTCATATAGCAAGGCTTGTGTGTGAAAAATTCCAATTAATTCTACGCAGTAGTTTTTGGTTGGTGCCCTTTTAAATATGGAGAGCGATAAGCAGCATTTTCGACATATCTTACTGTTTTACTACAGAAAGGGTAAAAATGCTGTTCAAGCCAGAAAGAAATTGACTGATGTGTATGGAGAAGGTGTGTTGACAGTACGCCAGTGCCAGAACTGGTTCGCTAAATTTCGATCCGGCAATTTTGATGTCGAAGATGCACCACGTTCGGGAAGGCCGGTTGAAGCTGATAAAGACGCGATAAAGGCATTAGTTGATGTGAACCGGCGAATAACAACACGTGAGATCGGATTGAGGTTAAATTTATCAAATTCAACAGTTTATGACCACTTGAAAGGCCTGGGATTATCCTCGAAGCTCGATGTATGGGTTCCCCATGTTCTCACAGAGAGAAATCTGTGTCGCCGCATTGACGTCTGCGATTCGCTTCTCAAACGTCACGAAAATGATCCGTTTTTGAAGCGCATCATCACTGGGGACGAAAAATGGGTTGTATACAACAACGTCAAACGCAAGAGGTCATGGAGCAAAAAAGATGAACCGGCTCAAACCATTTCCAAAGCCGATATTCACCAAAAAAAGGTGATGCTGTCTGTTTGGTGGGATTTTAAAGGAATCGTTTTTTTTGAGCTTTTACCGGATAACACAACGATTAATTCGGAAGTCTACTGTCATCAGCTGGACAAACTGAATGATGCACTTCAACAGAAAAGGTCAGAACTAATCAACAGGAAAGGTGTAGTGTTTCACCAAGACAACGCGAGACCTCACACAAGTTTGGTCACTCGCCAAAAGCTTTTACAGCTTGAATGGGATACAATGCTACACCCACCATATTCTCCAGACCTGGCACCATCGGATTATTATTTGTTCCGGTCACTCCAAAATTTTTTAGACGGTAAAACCTTCACCTCAAATGAGGAGGTCAAAAACCTCCTCGATCAGTTTTTTGCCAGCAAAGACCAAAAATTTTATGAGCGTGGAATTATGCTACTACCAGAAAGATGGCAAAAGGTGTTGGACCAGAACGGTCAATATATAATTTAATAAAGTATTTGTTTATTATACGAAAACTGTTTTTCATTTCCACAAAAAAAAAACGAAATGACTTTCCGAACAACCCTATACAATGTAAACCACGGCTCACAAGCCCGAAAGTTATTACTTTCACTTATGACATTTACACTGCACAGTGTCAGTGACAGATTCAGAAAAGGAATGAGGCTGTCTGCTTTATGAATTACTACTGTAGGAAACTATATTCCACATTTACAACGTTTCTATTTCTGGTAAATTTTTGTTTATAGACTGTATACATATTTCGTATTGTACAATGAATTAAGTTTCGGGAATTTGAAACTTTGTTTCTAAAAACGTTTATTAAACACTAGTGATTACAATCGGCTTCATTATTAGAAGGATGAAAAGTAACTAACTGTAAAAAACTATTCTTTCTTTTTCGGCACATAAAAAAATACATAATACATATAAAAAATGATTAGGCATTAGATTTAATGTAATACACAGAACATACGAGTAATATGGTACTCAATGCTCAGCGTGTGAACTATGGGTGAATATAACTAATGTGTGTATGTTTAAATATATTTTGTTAATGAAAATAGCACCTTTAAGGCCTTGATCATGCCTCTTTACTAACTTGTTCTGCGTTCTATTACTTTCTGAAAAAAGGTTTCTTCTGCTGCATTGACAGTTCAGGCCAAAATTCTATTTCGTCTACGGGACAAGTGCTCTTACGTAACGTTAAGTGCTTAATTGAATTGTCGAATTTCATGTTCATAAGGTGCTGGTACCATGTGTTAGCGATTTAGGTGTACTTTGAATACAATGAGCCATGGGCTCTCGGTAACTTTTAAATCGCGTAATTTCGAGAATTGATGTCTTTTATTATATATGATTTCTTGTTTTCCTTTTTTCTTTTTTTCTTTTTGAATGGCTCACGAAACTACCTAGAGTGATCTAATTTTTCATGAGAATATATGCTCGACGGGCGAGTAGCCGTTTTGTAAGGGAGGAGGGGTGGTTCAATAGGCTGAGAGGCCGCAATTTATATCGTTGCACCTTTTTTTAATTTTCTTCGCAATCTTAACTGGAACTTCCGCGATGCCGTTGGTCTGAGAGAACTTCGACGAGCATGTAATGTGTTCGAAGTCGTAATTTTTCACGAATAGTTTTGAGTATGCCGAATCTTCCGAAGATGATCTAGTCACGCTCGTTTATATCGCATTCACTTATGGAACTTGTCGGAGAAATTTCGAAATATCGAGTGCGGTAATAGATTATTACTAAATACCAACGATGTCTGACATAAAATAAGTTCATGCCGACCTTTTGTTGAGTTAATTTTTTTACAAATTGGATCTATGTTTTGCTCTTTTAAAACCCTTTCCAATATTTTTGGTGAAGCCGGTAAATTGCTAACTATAAAATTCGCATAACAATTCATACCGTTAGATGAATCTTCTTCAATTTTCTCGGTATTTTTCAACGGATTTCTGAGCAGACAATATGCAAGAACAAGTTTCTTGCCGTAGACGTTGTGCCGATTCGTATAGTTTTATTTGTTATAGTGTATAGCCATTCTATTCTTGTGTAAATATTCCTTAATCTTTCTGAACAATTTTATTTCTGTACTACATGCTACGTACTTCTTCTTCTCTAAACAAATAACTTAACTGCCTTCGTACTTTCCTATAATCCCTTAATAACATTTCAACCTTTTGACTAAGTGCATGATATTTATTATTCTTGTTTTAGTTTGTTATTATTTTATTCCGCTTTTTATTATTTCATCACCTTGAACATCAGAACACACAACGAGACCAAAAAGTAAACAACCGAGTAGTTATAATAATGCATTATAACTACCGTATCCTTTCAACCCTCGACATAAACTCGTTTAACGCTTTAGTTTGCAGTATTTGTAAATGCGGTTTGTGATCTGTTTCGAGTGTAACATCTGTTCCAATGATATACTCCTTAAATCGCTTGACCACGAAAACTAAACTTGCGCCTGCTGTTTTATCTGACTACTACTATTACTTCGAGGTTACCGTTTTTATTTTCTACAATCAGCACTGCTCCCAGAGTCTGATGCATCCACTTGAACAGTGATCTATCTGCAAAGTAGGCTGACAATAAATCTTGTTAAATTATTTTATTACACATTTTATGTTTCAAACATTAAGCTTTCAAATGTCAGCGGGTATATATATACCGTTTTTTTTTTTTATTTTAGAAGTGGTGTAAAATTTTTTAATTAAAATGGCTAAGTCTACTGCCATGTTTTCTGTAAGAAATTTAAATGTTTTTTTTGTGAAAAAGATTTAACGATTACATTGTTGATTGCAGCAACTTCAGCCATGGAGTTCAGTGGCAGCTCAACCCTGTATGGAGCAGACAGTTGGCGCACCCATAACAACACGCGTTGGAAATTACTATCAAACGCCTAGACCACATCCATGGCGCCCAACATTGGGATTTGAAAATATTGAAGTGATGCCACTGTACGTTTAAAGTATTATTGCTTCTATTTTACTTAATGTACTAACATACAAATTAAACCAATAAAGGCCCAGCCAACCTGTCACCAATGCTCTATCTGATCCCTGTTACACTCCTTATGGAATGATAACGGAACCCTTGAAATTTCCCAACTTAGTTACCGGTTTCGAAAGAAATCCCGCCCACGCAGCTAGGGCTGCTTTGTATACACGTTATACGCCTATGGAGTGGTGTCAGGGGAACATAGCTAAATACAATGAAGCGGATACAATGAGAAATTACTCAGAAAGGCTTAGAGGGGACTTTATCCGGGTTTTAAGGTACTTATGATATTTTTCTTTAATAGTTTAAAATATCAAATTTTTTGAATCTTCAACTTTCCTATTCCCATTAGATTATATAACATACAGTATTTACTTAAAATTAAACGAATAGTAGAATAAATTTTCCGATAGTATAAGATTGCATTTTTTAATAACAAAAGGTTTACTGCTATTACCTTATCATTCGAATAAGTATAT